ATGTTTATATGAGGTGCTTAGTATTAAATTAACATATGCTTCAAGCTCTTCTATCAATAACAAAAGAAACAAGTAAAATGATGGAATTAGAAAACAGAATTTAAGTTATAGAATTTAGAACTGGCTATATAACACATGATGATAGATTGGTGATAAAAATGTATCGTAAAGGGCACCTATTTTACCCCTTTTACAAGATGTAAGATAAGCCTTTGGCATCTCTAGAATGTGTCTGTAAAGTTTCAGCTCAAAATACCCATCAGATAATTTATTATAGCCTCCAGAACACAGTATGGTTGTTTTTGTAGCCTGTCGCTTTAAATCCAAAAGAGCTGGTCCCCCTACCCACTGCTCCCACGTGCATGTCTGCTTCTCATATGTTACATCAGATAAACAGCAGTCAGTGACAGAGACAGACACGTAAATACAAAGCTGAAATACAGCTCATTAGTTAAAAATAACAAGTACGTTTATTTGAGGCATTTTTGGTGGAGTCTATTCAAGCCTTTCTGAAACGATGAGTCACACACTTACATGTACTGCAATATACAAACATACAGTAGATGTGCACGTTTACTGACACCATGCAGCCATTGTGCTTATATCTGTTAAGAATTACATAGTGATTTTTTAATCTTAGTTTACTTGCAAAAAAATGTTTTTTGGACGTGTATACATGTTATTATGGAGACATGGCGTCTGTCAATCAATTCCATGGGCAGGGAAAATCACACTCCTACGTCACGTTGCAGTGGGCCTCAAAATCACTAGGATTTGGGTCCTATTTAACGTTAGGAAAAAAAAAAAGAGAGACTTGTTGGGTTTCTATCACTCCAATATGACAGTGGACAACATACACACGGTTCTGTCCAAACAGCAGCTTCCAATATCTGAATTTCATCTTAGGTGCCCTTTAAATGCATCTGAAGAACAGACTTAAGTTGGGTTTCTTTTTGTAGAAAACGTATTATCGCTGAAATGAAAAAAAATAAAAAATAAAAATAA